CCCTTTTCGTTCTACTGCCCCCCTGAAAAATGAAATTGCCCCCTGGGGGCATTATCACCCACGTTAAGAACCACTGGATTATAGCACCCTTAGGGGAGAATCCTATTGTGTTTTTCTCTGGAATAAAAGAAACTACGTAAGTCATAGCAGCAAATTGCAGCTAACTAACAAGGTGCTGCTTGTATAATCAGTCATATGACTGGCACACATCCAGGCATGCAGTTGGCACCTTGTTAATTAGATGCAATTTTCTGCCATAACTTACGTGACTTCACTTGAGTAAAATCCCAGAAGGATCTGGTCAGTGTGTTTAACTGGACTGAACTGTGACCTGCAATTTTCAGTCAAATGGGGGAAAGTATATATTAGATTCTTTAAAACTCTATTACTGTATTTAGCATTTGACATGCTTTATTTCCACAAGTACCTGCCATTTTCAGCCAAACCATTGTTACCTACCTTCTGGAAGCACTCTGCTGCTATCTGCACAGCTATTCAGAACATTTGATAGAGCAGAGCTGGAAGACAAATGGTCCTCCAGGATCAGAACTTGGAACATTATTTCAAAGAGGAATACATATGATGACATGATGAAATCATCCATGTATTGGTAGGACCCCCATCAAAAATCTGTCACTGCTCAGTTATGGGTGACAGCAACAGGTTTCATTTTTCTTTAAAGGTGCTTCTCAAGCTCTTCTCCAGGTTGTGTTGGACTCTGGCTCCCACCAGTTCAAAGCAGTTGTAGTCCAGTTACATGTGGAGGGTCATAATTCCCTATCCCTATAACAGAGGAATAATTGTGATTGACAACTGAACATTTCCATACAGACTCCCTGTTGGGATGGGAAGGAAAATCACATTCACACTGTACTGCTTGAAATCTCCTTCTTCCCTTTTCTGTACTATGAAGTACAGTAGCTCTTAGGTCTTTTCGAGCAAGTCAGTTAATGGAACATTATTAGACTCACTAGAACAGCACAAACAAAGTGATCCTTCAGGTTCTACAGAATCCTTCTTCAGGCTGGAAGCTACAGAATCCAGAGGGATAAGGAGGAAAAAAGGAAAACAGAAAAACCTGCCTCCTTGTCGTGTGGCCCTTTTCTTTGTAAGCACAATGACCTCCAAAGTGGAGAGCATCTTAGCCTTTCTTCTCACATAAGCTCTGATTGATATCACTGTGCGAAAAAAACAGGCCTGAAAGACTAGACAGAACTCCGTAGAAATTGCCAAAGGGCTTCTGGCAAGTCCTTTTTATAGGAAAAAAAAATGAAAACAGCTGTGAGAGCTCTAAACGTTTTGCGGTGTATACAGGAGTCTTCTCATATTTGGTATTAGAACACCTTCTAAATAAAGTTGAATTTTAAATTGCAATATTATTGTTGTTCTACTCCTAAGTAGACTGATTACCACTTAGTAACTGGTGGTTCTCCTTCGTGGCCTCTGTGAATACACACATATGGGTTTAGTCTGCGCCTGCGCTGACGTTCTCGGAGTCTTCTAGAGCTAAAAGTAACAATTTTATGGGACGATCCCCCAAGAGGCACATGCTCCTCCCACCTGAGATTCCCCTCAGTTCCTTTTTTCCGCCATGCTGTAAAGTTCTACAGAGATATAGAGCTATTTCCACAAGGTTTTTCTTTTAGCTATTCATCACTTCCCTTTTAATGGGATACTTCCCCTTCTCAATTATTCAATCTACGATTCCCCCGTGAGTTGTTTTTCGTTTCAGTTCAACCTTTCTATTTCTTTCAAGTTTTCCCGCCTTTTCTGGCCTCCTGAGCCCCATTTGATTCTCGGGCATGTTTATTATTTTTCTGCCTGAGTGAACTACATTTTACTCAGATAGATGCAGCCACGCAGACTCGCTTATATGAGTTTGCTTTTTATTCCACTTTTCAAAGAGAAATAGATCGAAAGACAGTCCGGTTCCTCTCACATAGCTGTCCCATTGATCCATGAGAGGACCCTTCAATATCACAACAGAGGATTCATCGACGGAGCGACTTTGCCTCAGAAAAGAGGATGTGCGAGCACGCTCTGCACGAACTTCGTCCGATTGCCTCTCTGCTCCAACTGGCCATTAATGACTGCGCTTCTGTCCAGTCTGGCCATAGCCCATTATAGCCCTACATGAGGGCGGGCATTTGACGTTCCGGAGTTGGAGTTTGAGGCTCTTCCTCTATCTCACGAGAAGAGGAGAGAGAAAGACAGGCATGTCTCAGAGCGAGACTGGTGAATCATCGATGGACAGCGGCGTATTGCCGCTGAAAGAGAGAGTATGTATGATCCATCTGCCTAGACTCCAAGATCACCCAGTAACCTCTCTCTTCCAACTGGCCATTTGGTGACTGCGCTATCATCCAGTCTGGCCGTGGCCCATTGTAGCCCTATATTAGGGCGGGCATTTGACCGTCCAGATGCTTGACCTCGAGGCTCTTCTTTCCTCACATGAGGAATGACAGAGACAAACTAAACACTTCAGTTTGTCCCCAGCATCTGGTCGGGCTCAACATGGGCAAACTACGCTTCGGCATCAAGCTATTTTTCATATGCCGATCATGTCAAAGCCCATTCTGTTTGGGCTCGACATGGACAAACTACGCTTCAGCAGCGAGCTATATCCTCAGGTTCAGGTCCATCTTATTTTGGTTGGGCTTGACATGGACAAATTACGCTTCGGCATCGAGCTATATGCTCATATGCCGGTCTATCCCAGGGCAAAGCCCACTCTAGTCGGGCTCGACATGCACAAACTACACGTCGACATCGAGCTATATTCTCATATGCCGGTCCATCTCATGTCAAAGCCCATTCTGGTTGGGCTCGACACGGGCAAACTATGTTTTGGCATGGAACAATACTTCTCCTATACTGGTCCATCTTGTATCAAAGCCCATTCTGGTTGGGCTCTACATGGACAAGCTGCACTTTGGCATGGAACAATACTTCTCATATGCCGATTGGCCTCATATCAATGCCCACTTTCGTCGACCTCGACACGGGCAAACTATACTTCGGCATGGAACAATACTTCTAGGCTGATCCATCTCGTATCAAAGCCTATCTTGGTTTGGCTCCACATGGACAAGCTACACTTCGGCATGGAACAATACTTCTCATATGCCGGTTCCACTTGTATCAAAGACCATTCTGGTTGGGCTCCACATGGTCAAACTACACTTCCGCATAGACTGATCTTTCTCGTATTTCGGCCCATCTCATATCAGAGCACATTCTGGTTGGTCTCAATGGGGTCAAACTACACTTCCGCATAAACCAATACTTCTCATATGCCAACCCATCTCATATCAAAGCACATTCTGATCAGGCTCGACATGTACAAACTGCACTTTGGCATGGAGCAATATTTCTCATATGCTGGCCCACCTCATACCAAGCCCATCTGGGTCAGGCTCGACATGGACAAGCTACACTTCACCATGCCTCTATACATCTCATATGCCAATTCATCTCATGTCACAACATGCTATGATCGGGCTCGAGATAGACAAACTGAATGCTTC